AAAGTAAACACGTTTAATGACTCGTACTGAAACACACATCACATAAATAAATAAATAAAAAAATGCTTTCATGAAAATCTTAAAATGGGCCTTTAATGTGGGCCCTGCTTTATTACCTAATTACCCCACAAATGTAGTTTTACTTTCTCAGCTATCATTCAGTTTACATGTTGTCCCCTAAATAAATCTGTGCTAAACAAATCACCTCACAGGAAACCCGAGGCTATGTTTTACTCCAGGAATACAGAGAACTGGAGGGATTGTGGGGCTTTAAAAGGACCCTGATTAAAGATTCACCTTTAATATAAAACCTTATCCTGAAGCCAGCTGACTGAACACCTGCAATAACTCACGTTTTGAAAGTTGCCTTCTCCTTTCCCCCCCTCTCTTTCTCCATCAAAGGTCGGATCTCCTCTCGATGCTCAGCAGCTCCACCTCGAAGATGAGCGTCGCTCCACCGGGGATCTTCGGAGGAGCTCCCCGGTCTCCGTATCCGAGCTCGGAGGGAATAACCAGCTTCCTCTTCTCCCCCTCGCACATTCCCAGCAGGCCCTGATCCCAGCCTTTGATCACCTGGCCGGTGCCCAGGGTGAAGGTGAAGGGCCTGTCTCGGGGGATGCTGCTGTCAAACTCGGTGCCGTCCTCCAGCTTTCCCGTGTAGTGCATGTTGAGCACGTCTCCTTTGCGGGACTTGATGGGGCAGTTGTCCACCCGCTTCTTGATGCCGATCTGCAGCTTCTTTTTCTCGGCTCCGCTCACTGCCGCCGGGCTCAGGGAGAGCACGGCCACCGCGAACAGCACCAACACCCGCATGGCTGCAGCTTTTACAGCGGCTCTAGAGGTTTTACAGATGTTTACAGGTGTTAAAGGGGGTTTAGTTTGGAGAAGACTGAGCTCAACGCCCAGTGTGCAAATTATGGGGGGGGTGAATCAGGGAAATGAGCCTGGAAATGTGTTACCGAAAGCGGACGTACGAACGATACGACCCTGGAAGTAGTTCTGCTCTTGGTGTTACCAGTAAAAGAGTCCGGAAAAAACTGTCCCCAAGAGTTGAAGTTGGCTTCAGGTTCGACAGAATAAGAGAGTTTAAAGGATCATTTCTCAGATTATTTGAATTGTTACACCCCTTAAATGTGTAAAAGGCGTCATAGTGACAGACTTTACACAGCTTAAAAGGGTGTACTTGTTTTCTTTTAACATAATTATCTTTGTAAAGGTTTTAATGTGGTTTGATTTGATGGTTTAATCACTTTTTTCTTTCTGTTTAATGCTCTTTTTTGTTTCTCCCCCCTTACACGTGTGTTCTGGCACTTGCAAGTCTGACACTGTAAATAATAAATTGTCTTGTCTATTAAAATGAAAGTTAAATTAAAAAATAAAATAAATGTAACCCCTTTTAAGATCTGTGAAACTTTCATTCCACTATTTATTCTTGACCTTGGAAATGGTTGGTTGATCAAAACACCTCAACCTGAGATCTACTTACCTGGAATGTGTGAGAACTGTTTTATGTTTTAGTTCCACATATGTACTATGCATCAAACACATATGAATACATAGAAGGGTGTATATAGTTTTTCTATTGCATCTTCTTCAAAATAATTGTGACACACAGTATTATCATTTATTGGCGACTGCACCTCCTTACTATTTTTGGTTTATGTGTAAACTTACTACTGATGTATGATTTGTGCACTAATTCACTTTAAAAGGATACTGCTATTCTTGCCATCAACACTGAAGCCCAATATCATTAACTTCAGATCAGAAAATATCAGAAAATATCAGAAAATATACACAGTAGAGAAAGTGAGCTCCCCTGAAAGCTGCTGTATTGTTCGCACACTGTAGGACTGTTTATTTCAAGTCAAGCCATGTGAGGATATCACAATATTGTGGTTTTTTTTATCATGATAACACCATATATCGCCCCATTCTTACTTGTTTTAGAATCAGAATCAGAATCAGAAACACTTTATTGATCCCAGAGGGGGAAATGTGTTCGTTACAGCTGCTCAAGGTGCTCACACAACATTAAAGAATACAAATAATAATCATATTACAATATCTAACACTATATCTGGAAATAAAATAAAAATATATATCGACATATGCATATAAAATAAAAACAGTACAATCTAATAATGAGAAATACAAATATAGTAGTAGTGAGTACTGATAATGTGAATATGTTGACACCCTTAAACAACATTATTCAGTATTAGTGACAATAAGATGATACACTAAGTCACCAGAGATGCTTTAAAGCCCCATACAAACACTGAGACATTATACACAGTCAATGATTATTACCATTATTACCATTATTACCCCCCAACCCCTCACTGTCGAATCAGAAACCAACTTCAGCCTCGTTATATCACCCACTGCAACCTAGCGGTCACCTCGTTCAGCCGAAGTAAGTCAACTTTGTTTACGTGTAAACCATCAAAGTTCACATCAAAACCGCAACATATATAGCAGTATAAGCTTCTGTCGGATAACGTACACCTCCAGATAACTAATGTGAACCATTGGCTTCGTTACAGGGCGGAAACACACCAAGAGTTTAACGAGGGCTGCCTGAGCTAAGCTAAGCCACCGTCCGGTTCAGGATGCTCTCTCGGTTGTTATTCAGCCTCATCAACAACCTCCATGTCGTGGAGAAGTTGGCAGAATCTCGTCCGATTCGCAGGGCGGCCCAGATCACCGCCTACACCATTACCAAGGCTCAGATAGCCGGCCGGGACGCCTCGGAGCGGGTCCTGCGCTCCCAGACGCTGCGGCAGGTCCGGGAGGAGGCCGGCAGAGTCCCCGGGGACCTGGGGGAGATGGGCGGCCGCCTCCGGAGAGTCCGAGAGACATTTGTGAATGAAGTGAAGGAGGGATGGAAGGACGGCTCCAGGAAGATCAAGAAATAAAGAGAGACTGGCTGGAGGACACTACAAAGAGACCAGATCCAACTTCTGTGGCTGGTTGTTGAGAAACTTCAGGGATTACTTAGTGATGGACAGTCTGCCTCAGCTGTGTCGGTGGTCTGCACCATCAGACAGCTGGACACCGATCACCGATCACATGGTGGTTAATCATATAAAATATACATATATATACACATTCACTGTACTGTCACGTTTCTGAGAACACACACAAGTATTCAACCCTTCAGAAAAGTCTGCAGAAAGGTGGAAACATTTTTCAGTGGATTTTTTGTTCTAGTGATTTAAATTAAAAACCTTTTAAAAAATAGACTACTGGAGCTGCCTTTTCATTGTTCGCCTCTTCACATTAATCTATGATACAGAACAATACACAGGTGGTTCAACTAATGATGACCTGGTAAATGTTGTTTGTTTGTTGTTTCCCATTTTACTCCATCGATGTGCAATCGTGCACTTATGACACCAATTCATGCCAAAAAGCTACTGTAGATCTGTACACAAAAGTTGTCTAAATACTTGTATTAGTCTACAGTGTAAATATATATAAAGGGAGATGTTGGGTGTATTCTGATTGTATAAATAAAGATTATAATTTATAACTGCCTGACAGTGTCGGTTATTTACCATTGGTAGGTTAAGTTTCAGGACATAAAGCAACTTTACATTTTCCAAGTTTAGATGGTTAAATTCCAAAAAACAAATTTTTTGTTTGTTTAGGTGTGGACTAAAGTTATGAACTTACTGTAAGAGAAGTATTATTAGATTTGCACAGTGAAGAAGAGAGTGAAGTTCACAGTTCACTGCCTTCTAGTTGTAATTCATAGTCCATTTGGTTTCTCCGTGACAGAGATATGAAACAGTGGAAAGAAAAGAGATAAGAGGACGTTTTATTGCTCCCTTACATTTGGTCACAGCGGTGGCAAAAGGGCATGTACATGTTCCCCAGTAAATTCAATCCGTCCTTTGGGCCTGACCCAATTACTGTATATTGTCACTTATGTCACTTATAGCTGCAATGATGAATCAGTAGGTGGATGAAAATTACTGTACTGTAACTATTTTGATTCATGAATTGTTTAAGTCATTTTTCAGGCAAACATTAGATGTTTTTGCCTTTTTAAATGTGAGAATTTTCTTGTGGTAGTATCTTAGAAAAGTTTTCGCTGTTGGTCGGACAAAACAATACAAAAAAAAATCTGCTGTTTTCTGATGTTCTATAGATTACTCAAGGAAATACTGGACAGATTAATCAATTAGTCGCAAACAAAAAGAACACATTTTACTGCTGATCTTATTTGATTTTATAATTGGTGAAAGCAAATTTCCTGTATGTATAAAAGGTGCGAGAGGAGACTTGATTTCTGCTACAAAGAGGCTAAAACTTAAAACCTATGTGTCTGAGGAAAAGCAGCCTTACTTATTCTGAATGAAATGGAAAAAGTTCTTGTAGCTGTGAAGGGTCCTCATGTGACAGCTGATCAGGGGAGATAAACTGCAGAAAATCCACAATAACAAAACATTCTCATAAAGAAAAGCTCAACAGAATGCATTATTGCAGTACGTAGCTTTATTTCATTTGAACAAGCACAGAAAACAGCTCAAGTCGGCAGCTTTATGTAGCAATACTTGTGCAGACGCACTGGCCTGGCAACTAAATATTAGTTACATGTTACATCATTTCACATAGAAATAAATCTCTATCAGGAGGAAGAGAAAGCATGGGTTTCTGACAGCATGAGTCAGTACATATACACTGATATGGTATCTGAACTTCATATAAAAATAAATCTCTCAACATAGGAAAATACACATCCAAATCAACATTTTAAAGCAGGAAACAGCATCAGGCAGCAGGAGGTACAGTAGATATGACAAAAACTGGTTAGTTTGAGTTAGAGAGAGACATTTCTGGAGTGAGTTGTTTGAGTTAGAGGACATGAGAGCAGATCTTAAGTCCATTATTATTATTATTTTAATGGCGTTTTATTCCTTTGACACTCTTCCATGACTAACAGCATTAAGCTAAATCCCTTCCTAAACCCAAATGGAGTAAAATGTCTTTCTGTAAGTCAAAGTAAAAGTTGGAATCACATTAATACATTAAAGCCTGTAGTCTTTCTCTTTGACTTAAACCATCCAGACAAACAAACCTCATTCACTCTCCAGCACAAACCACAGGATGTTTTCTTTATGTTCTCCCCAAATCTGACAAAACCTGACCAGAGTCACTCACTCCATTTGTGTCCAAATATGTATAATTTGAAATGCTAACAAGGTGTGAAAAAAATGGCTGCAGGTGGGAGGGATGCTGACTATCTGCTGCTAAAGCATTTCCCATCCAAAAGCATCAGATTAGTAACAATAATACAACAATTTCTATGTGCAGCTGCAAGCAGGCTCAGCACGAACTATATTAAAGCATTTCACTTCTTGATTTTTAGGCATTTGAGGAGAATACATGAAGTAGACAGCCTATGGACAAACACTCAGACACTCATCATCACACCATCCCCAGCACAGCTCTGTGTGGAGGCAATACTAGTGCATATTCTCTGATATGGCATTAGCTTATTGGAGAAACACAGCCCAAACTAAAGGAAGGCCGTGTTTGTTTGTACTCGAAGAGCAAGTGGCAGCAGAGCAGAACAGCAATCAAATTAAATGAAAATAGGGAAGCTGATCTGGGGTCAGTTACAGTTTAAAGGTTTTTTTTCTGTGGGTTTGTTATTTTTGAGCAAGAAACAGCTAAACCAGATATTAAGGAGTTCAAAAGTAAACTTCCTATCCATATTACTTTTACTAGTGTTTCTTAAAGTGTCAGTTCACCTAGATTACAAAAAACATAGTGAATTATCCAGCGTTTCTGGGAAGAAATGTTACATTTTTTAAATGTAATTGTTCAATGTGACACCACAAAACATTATATGCAGCTTATATAAGGTTAAAATCAGATTGTCTGTTCTGTTAAACTAGCTTTGGAGAGACAGGGATGCACTACCCACTAAAGCAATGTAACAGGTGGCAGCATACACACTGATATGGCAGCTCACCTTCAGTAAACAAAGTGGCAGCAACACCTTCTCTCAACATGTCTAATTCACACTGGCTAAGGGCATCAAAAGCCTCTTCCCTGCCACAAAAACAATTGTGCTTCTTTTGCTTCAACACTAGAAACATTTCAATCCAAAGGCAGTTTCAACATGCCATCCTCTCATATATTAAAATAACACACAATCAGGTAGAAAAGATGCAATTTTAAGACAAAAACACAGATTCAAGGATAGAGGGAGTGGATGTTCAGAATAGCAGGACTAAACTGAAGAATCCCGTGTGAAAATTGAAGAAAGGAGGAAGGGAAGGATACGGGAAGTGTGAAGAAGAGGTGAGGGCTGAGGAATAGAGAAAATGTGCGCCTGTCTCATGTTATATCTTTACATTCAGAGGTGGGTCAGCATGAAGCTGAACAGGGCCATCAGCAGCAGCCATACAGATGACATGACTATAAGAGAAACAGAAAATGGGATATATTAGAAAGGTCGTACATTAGAAATAACCTGATAAAGTGGCCATTTTATACAACGGACACTGGTAGCAGCTGCCCTAAACGTGTACAAATACTCTGTTACAGTCATGCAAGAGGGGGAAACAGCTAGCCTCTATCCAAGGTGATAGAACCCCACTACCAGGATCTCTAAAGCTCAATAATTAACACATATCTTGTTTGTTTAATCTTGGACAGAGGCAGGCTACCTGTTTTCCCCCCTGGTTTCCAGTCTTTATGCTAAGCTAAGTTAAGCGGTTGCTGACTGTAGCTTCATATTCAACGTACAGTCATGAGAGCAGTTTCAATCTTCTCATGTCCCTTTAAGTTAATCTCAGAACATCTGTCACTTGCTGCAAAGTTGCTGTAATTTATTGTCTGTGTATTAAATGATTCATATTACATAACAACAATTTGGATTTTTTTTTAATTCAACTTTAGTTAAAACGTTGTGCAAACATTAAAAACAGCAATCAGTTAGGTTGGTGTTGGATTGTAAGTAATGTGTCATGCAATTTTGCGTTTTTACCTGTAACTGATGAGTTACAGTCAAGGTCGACCAGTGAGTCCATGTAGCCCTGGCCCAGCCACTCCTGATAGGTCTTTTTGTCACCGACACTCACGAGGCGAACAGTGGAGTCTTTGAAGATGAGATCTGCTTCACCGTAGCCCTCCGAGTCAAACATCAGGAAATCAGGATTTGTATCGCTGCCAAAATATTTCTACAGGGAAACAGAGATAAATAGAAATTGAACACTAAAACTGACCAATCAAATGGATTTCCTGCATTCCAGCTAGTCATTTATTTCCATTAATTTTACTGTAAAATAAAATCAATTATTTGAGCCTTTAGTATTCTAATTTTATAGAGTGTACCTCCTATTTGAAAACCCCTTGATGACGTGATTAAGGATTCATCAGCATCTCAGAGTGTTGGCTGCTCAAATGCAATTTTATTAACATAAGAAACTATTTCAATTTATATAAATTATTTTAAAATCTTAAATGGATTAAGGAGAGATTATCACTTATTGTGTTACTTTATAATGTGCTGTTAATGTATTTTTTGTGGGATTACAAATGTTCTAAAGTTGAATAGGTACATTTCCCTTTAGAAATGAATGTTCTTTGTTTTAACAGGAAATATAGCGCTTGTTTTATTTTATTAACTGTGTGTGTTGAACTTCTGATGACTTCTTTTTGTTATGAACATTAGTTTGACAAATAATATCCACCATGCAATACAACGCAGAATCGCACCCATAACTCATGATTTCTTAACTTTTTTATATATCCAACAACCAACAGGCAATAACAATTAATCACGCACACAAAAAATCTAAATGTCGTTTGTTTCATGACCAACATAGCTCATCACTTCGATGCTTTTTAGCAGCCAACTATTAATTCTCAGATGGCAGAGCATCCTTGAATGCATCACCAAGAATCTCTTATGATGTTGAGTGAATGTGACAAAATAGTCAATGAGTCCTTAACTGTGAAGATTATCAATCTTTATCCAGTTTCAGGTCTCTGCACTTTGTTGGTTTACACCCTCTGACTAACTCACAATCTTTACAGACTGTACGAACACTCTTACCTGTGCATGGTCCAGGAGTCCATAGACAGCGTGGATGTTGGTGTCTGGCCGCACCATCACGGCGTGGGAAGGGACTCTGGCCAGGTTACAGTGTCTGTACTGTGAGACCTCGGCTTTAGTGCCATGAGAACACAGCAGCTGGAAATCTGTAGACCGTAGGTCTGTTGCCCACGATTCACCGCTACCTGAACAAATACACAAAGTTACGGGGTTAATTAATTAGATCCCTGAAAACTATGATACCCATAAAATGAGAACACTTTTTTATCTTAGGGGGATCTTGTCTTACCATCTGTGTTTTGGAAGACAGTAGAATGCTTGACGAAAGCAACATCTCCATCTCCCCTCGCCAGACACCTGAATGGACAGATGGACAGACACATGTAGCATGTGGCTTAAATTCAACTGTTTACTATTAAAGGCGATGGAGACAGTTGCACACGACTTGCATCCCAGTTAAATAGTCAGTATGAAAAATGAACAGCTGGATTAGAAAATATATTACTGTGATAAAAAGTCTAAGCCCGTGTAAATAAAAACATCAGGGGAGAAATTTACTACAACTCCCAGAGTGCATATTAGCAAGAAGCATCCAGTCATAGAGCTTAACAAAATCCTATATCATTAAAGAAACATCTGAAATGGGAGTATAGAATGAAACATGTAACAGTGATGAGATGCAGGGGTTTCGGATGTTGCAAGTTTTAGTACCTGAAGGCACCGTTGTATCCATCATACAGGTCTCTTCCCTTGTCACACTTGTTCTCTCCTTTGATGTCTCCCACACACAGACCACACAGGCTGCTGGGAAAACCGGGCTGGTTGGCACCTGGTACACAACTCTGCTGGAAGAACCCTCCCATTGCTAAGAATCGTGGGAAACAGGAAATAGAAAGTCAAATACCGGATACATGTTATAACCTGCTCTACCCAAAATACAAGAAATACTTTAAAGGGTCAGTCCATCGGTTACACATGAAGTTTGGTTCAGTTGCACAGTGAGAACTGCTCAGATTGTGACAAGAACGTTTTCTGTAGAGGAGCTTTGTAAAGTTATTTTAACAGAAAACCTGCATTAGAAACAGATGTTGGGCTTGAACATGTCATCAGACAACTCAAGACGGTTGTGTGACTGCAGAGTAATACTGTGCATTGACAATATAACACCAAATTCTAACTACAACAGACTTTGGTTGAAGTGAGGCATCATGCTAGGTTTTCAGGTACTTCTGTTTTATTAAGTGCCGAGTCGAATTCACAGATGAAGAGTTAGAAAAGTTTCTCCGCCATTATTATGATTTGGATGTGGCATCAGCGCTATTTACACAGTGTGAAACTCATAATATAAATGCAGCAAAACAAATTATGCTGTTGAGCTGCATTATGACCTCCTTTGTATTCTGCCTCTTGCAAGACCCCCGATGGGCAAGTAGGTGACAAATATCCACGTGTGCCCAAATTCCTAAGTTGTTGTTGTACATTGTGTTATTATTTTACTGATTACATAATTAACAAAGCTTAACATTTAACTGTAAAACCAAAACCACGTCTACCTCTGAAAACTGATGAAAATTGAATGTATTGTCAGCAACAATATACCACAAATCCTTGAGCACGCTGACAAAAAACAAAACATATCACATATACAACACATTTGGAACATGAAAACAACTGCAGAAACAATTTGTTGATTAATCAATCAGTGAAACAACAGAAGATTAATCAACCATTTTAATAATTCATTAATCATCTAAGTCATTATTCAAGTTTAAATGTTAAAACGTTCTCTGGTTCCTGCTTTTTACATTTGATGTGAGGATTTAAGGCTTTACTGTGTTTTAAATTAACTGATTTTTCACTATTTTACTACATTTTATTGATTTTCAGCATCTGACCCCTGGATTCTTACGAGTTCTGACTACTCCAGCTCACACCTCTGCTAGACACATGCACACACACACCCAACATCTCACTGACCTTGGGGTATCTGACATTGCTGAGGGTTGATCAGGCCTCTCTCCATCAGCGTTGCTACGGGAATGTTCCAGCCAGCCGTGCGGCCATATCCCGTGTGACAGGAGCGCCGGCCTCGCAGGTCGTCAAGGTTACGGATGTCTTGGCTACTCTTTTTTACCACCGCAACTGCATAGTATATGGAGCCATCACGGTCGTCTGGAGAGAAAAAAACAACAACAACCTGTATCTGTCTTCTTTGAAACAATCTGTAACAGTATGTTTGTTTGTGTGAGTCCCTGTTTTTGTGTTTTTACCTGTGTAGCTCTCGGCGGTAGCAGGGACCAAGCCATACTCTTTGCCTGCAGTGTAGATGTAACCTCCATCCAGAGTGATAGCATCAGCCTCCTTGTTCTACACAAATACGAAAAAGAAGAGCAAAGATTGAGATGCCAAAACTGTTAGAAAAAGCCATGATTTGGTCTTCTTTATGTTTATGTATCAGTAGGCAGAGGTGTGGACAAATTTGATGACTTCAAATCAAAAAAGACCAGTAAAGTAAAGGAACAACTAACTGAACACTGCTCAGGCCAGTATTTGACGACCTGACAATCCCTACTCCCTGTAGAGTGCCAAACGCGCTGTCAAGACCTAATTATCACATATCATCTGTTCTAATAAACAGTTATCTTTACTTCATTCACTTGTCTCTCCTGATTGAAATGTTTGTGGCAGATGTGGGACAGAGTCATAATTTTTTCAGTCACAAGAGAGTCTGAAGTATCGAGTTAAGTCTCAAAGCAAATACCAACCAGACCCAAGTTAAGTCCAACTTTATGTTTTGACTTGTGAAGTATGTCAGCATAATCGGGTTGCAAGCTTTTATTATTTATTTTTTTTGTCAAGTTAATAAGTCATTGCAAATTAAAATTTATGACCATTAGCTGTTCTTTGGGAACCTGGAGTAAGAAACACGTTACCTTGATTTTGTTCATGCAGTCAGTCACAGAATCCCCGTAGACACACCTGACAGCTGGAGTCAAACCTTTACTTTGAAAGGCTGCGCCCATGTCAGCACACTTCTCCTGCTCATGGCCTGTCAACACACACCACCGCAGGACGTCTGGGATATTTATAGAAAGGTGGGTGGTACAGAAGGGAAGAAATAAAGGTAAGTATGTAGCCCAGTTTACCAAAAATACAATATGTTTTGGTATGTTGCACTGGTTTCAATCAGTACATAATTTAACATTATGATCATGCGTGATGTTGTACATCAAACAGACAGACAGACAGACAGACAGACAGACGTTTCACCTTCAGCTTTACAGTCCATAGCTCTCAGAGCATTGTAATAGAAGTGACCCATCCACTTCTGGGGGTCTTCTGACTCCACCCCCTGAAACATGGTGGCTGACTCAGAGAAGAGAACGGTTCCTCCTCCATATCCCGCAGACGAAAACATGTTGAAGTTTGACTTTTCCTGCAGACAGCAAGTTACACTCAATTAATCTCACAAAAAGAATCTCTGGTTAAATGTCAGATTGCTTCACTGTGCTTTTAAGGACCAGTGTGTAGGATCTAGTTGGCCTCTAGCTTAACCCTCCCCTTCCAAGTGCAAGGGAGAAACTATGGTGGCGGCGTAATGCAAAATGCCCTATCTAGAGCTAGTGTTTGGTTTGTCTGTTCTGGGCTTAAAGGATGATTATACACTACTGAAAACATACCTATGAACATACAACTATTTCTGCCGAGAGATTGGACCTTTAAGATATCAATACTAATAATGATTGGTTTTATTTAAGCACTTATCAAGACTGTAAAAGATGTTTGACATGACAAAATAATTGTATTTTCTAATACTTCAGAGAAAATAGCCAAGAAAAAAGGCTCACCACAATGTCCATTTAGTAGTCTATGGAGCTTTGCAGCATCAAGAATTTGTATCCACAGCATTTAAGTCAACATAGACGAGAACTTCTTCAGGTAACATTCACTTTCTTGCTGAGAGTTAGATGAAAAAGCCAATACTACCACTCTCTTTATGCTAAATTATAGCGTGTGCTAGAGAGTGCTGTGGTGAGTTAGCTTTGTGACTGATGAGTTTATGTATTCTGTTCCTATCCAGAAAACAGACAGCAGCACACAAGCAGACTTGTACAATAAAATCAATGCTCTTTGACAGCTGCAGGATGGACCATGTGGTGGGATAGTTTTAATACAATTTAAAGATTTAGATCTAATTTTGACTACTGAGGGGACAGGTGTAAAATGATAGATGGCTCTGACAAACTGACATCCTGTAATGTTTGACATCGCGTCTCCATGACTACAATGTGCCATAACACTGAGGCGCTATATGAGCAGAACTTTTTTTGTGGGTGTTACCACAGTGAGCTATGTGGACGTACCAGGCCCTCCTTCAGCATGGTAAACACCACAGAGGGAGTGATGTGATTGCCGACCACAATCCCACGAAATGGGATGCGGACCAGATGGCATCTGCTCCACTGAGAGATGGGAGCTCTGCTGCCGTCACGACACAACAGCTCATAGTCCGATGACAGCAGTGGTTTTGCCCATTCTGGGCCACGACCTGGTGAGAAAACAGCTGGTTAGCTTAAAAACATGTTGACAAGTTAACTGACAAAGTGGCTGAACTAATGACTACTAATTACTGGCTATCTAGCTAACTAAGACATTACCATCAGTGTTCTCCTCAACAATTGTGTGTTTGATGAAGGCCACTTCTCCTGCATCTTCAACCAGACATCTACAGAGGCCAAAACAAAAAAAATATCTTGAGAATAAAGGTGCAAGTAAATCAAAATAAAACCATAAAACCCATTGCTTCCTGTAACAAAGAGGGTGCTAACATGCCTTGACCTGTTAGTGTTTTTGGCCACTTTTTTACAGAATGAAATATCTCAAAAACCATTAGAGCGATTCCCATTACATGTTTTTCATTCAGGTTCCCAAACAATGAATCCTTTTTTATTTTGTATTCAAACTTCAGGTAGTGTTACATCAAACATCCACAGAGCTACTCCCCATGGCGACCACCCGATCTCTAACAATGAATCCTAAAAACTTCCCTGATGATTCCCCAATGTTGGCATGCTAGCCCCTTAAACATGGTTAATGTTTGCATAAACTTATGTGTAATGATAATATTCGTTGTTAATTCACATATAGCAAGCAATCAGTATTGGTGTTTTCTGCTTATTATTAATAATTTAATAATATGTTCTCATTGCTAGATTCATATCCTGAAGATTAAATTTGTTATATATATATACTTATTAAAAAGGAATCACAGTTAAAACCTGTGAAAATAATATAAAATAATAAACATCTCTGAAGATACATTAACGTGAATTGACATGAATCCAACATATAATTAACAAAGAAGAAATAAAACATGAATATATGAACAATAATTATTTTAATAGCTTACTACTGTACACAGTATAACCAGGCATGTTTACATACATGGCTGAATGTTATTGTAGGCCCAGTTTAATATGCAACAGTAATCTATAGCCTACATAGGGGATCCCTGCTCCATTTCTCTGTCAGCTGACCTGACATCCACTCATCTTGTTCACATACAGCACAATACTGCAGATCTGTAACCAGAGTATGAATGTGTGTTACCTGAAAGCTCCTTCATAGCTGAAATATCTCTCTTGGACGTTCATTTCACATTTGTGATTTCCGGTAGCATCTCCTTTGCACAGCTGACACAAAGACTTAGGGTCACCCGGCTGGTTTGCTCCGGGGATACAGCTCGCATTGAAGAACTCTGCCACCCCTGATCACACAAACACACACGTCTCTCCAGCTTTCTGCATGTGCAGTCTATGTATATACATATATATGTATGTATGTATATATGTTTCCTACCCTGTGAGAAGTCGCAGCCCATCACAGACATGTAGCCCTGGTCTATGAGGTATCCTAAAGGCATATTCCAGCCGGCTGTTCGGCCTTTCCCAGTGTGGCAGCTCTTTTTTCCTGCCAAGTTGTTGATGTTGATGCCAGAATTTGCTTTCTTCACCACAGCAACTGCATAGTAGGAAGTACCAGTACCTGAGGCAACAACAGCAAAGGCGTTAACACACCGAAATATGATCTAGAAGATCAAAGTACAGCCTACCACTCGTGTTTTGAAATATTCCACATGCAATACAGAGGGTAATTAGGGTAACAGGTATGATAACTCAGGACCCTGCCTGTATTATTCCATATTATCCATGATAAAGACCAGAATTAACCTGAGCTAATCATGAGAGGAGAGTAAACACAGGTATTCACCATGCATCTGGCAACAGTAGTGGGTTAATTACATTCTTACACAATAAGACAGTGACAGTTAAATATGAGTTTTTATTAGATCTGATTTGTATCACTGGGACCACACATTGTTTGGTCTTGACTAAAAGAACATTAAAGAAGCAGATTAAAAAATGAAAAAAAAAATTTGAGGAATACATTTTTTCATTTTCATACCAAGAAAAAAACACTTTCAAGTCTGAACAACATGAAGCTACAGCCAGTGTCTGGTTAGCTTAGCACAAAGACTTGAAACAGGGAGAATCAGCTAGCTGGGCTCTGTCCAAGAGATAGTTCAGCATGTAACTTTTTTGTACATATAAAGTGTTAATGCGATAATTTTATTGTTTTTTACTTTTGAATGGAGCCAATCTGCTTGGATCCCTGTTTCCAGTCTTATGCTAAGCTAAGCTAATGACCGGGAGAGTGGCATCCATCTTCTCATCTATTTCAGAACAAAACTATTCCTTTAAACATTAAACATTAAAGCAACATACTGAAGGACCTAATAAATCACCTTTCTCTCTATATCACTTTTCACACCTGTTTTTTGTCTCTGAATCGCTTTCTTTGTCTCTTCCCTTCCTCTTACAGAAAGAAAAATTTAAATGTATTTAAGTGACGGTTCGAGGGCCGTATTACAGAAACTTCCTAACTTGAAGAACTTAACTGTTTGGTAACCATGGTGATAAGAGTTAGGACCTTATTTAGGCAAAAAAGCCATTACAGATGAACAGTTCCTAGGTCAATGCTCCTATCATAATTTAAGAAAATAAATGTAGGCTATATAACACAAACATCCTAACACCCAAAATCTTAAAATAACTTTAGGATAACCGTTAAGCTGTCCTAACTTCCCCTTTTCCACCAGGTAATGTTGTAATTTCTGTTTGCCTTTTCTTTTATTGCTTTTACACAACCAATGAATCCATTTTGTGTTTGTTTCAGTGAGGACAAACCAACGGTTACAAAGCTGTTTAGCTTGGTGTGATAAGAAAAGTAGTGTTGGTTGCTAGGTAACAGACATAAAAGTTGATAAACTTGGAAGCTGGATTGAGTATTTAGCATTTCCTAGATAAGATAGGATGAATAAACTTAAGACATTACTTAAAGTAAGTTAGAATATGCTTCTATAATACCATACTGGGAAAAATCCTATCATAGACCCTTCCTATAAGACTATAATAGTTTCTGTAATTTGACTCCTGTAACTTGTGACTGTCAGTACTGGGTTGCTCAAGCTGGTTACTGAGGTGTTACTGAGGTGCTTGAATATATCTGAAATCTTGAATCTTACCATCAGCCTTTGATTCACTGGCAGCCATCTTGAAGGAAGCTGTCTTCCCCAGGTTGTAGATTTCGGTGCTGAACATGGACAAGGCGTCTGCTTCTTTCTTCTGCAGAGACACAGCAAACAAACTGATTAATGATGCTACTCAGTAACATAACAGGGAGCTACAACAGTACCTTAAATATTAAGAACCACAATGTTTAAAAGACACATGGGCAGCTACTTAATATATAGAACATTGTATGAACAAACATTTGGAGTTTCTGTACTCCAAATGTGATGATTTTTAAAATTTAGTGTAAGAAAAAAACATTGTGGAACAAGGAATACATTACAGCTTTTTGAGCACATCAAATATTTCCTTATCACCTAATAAAACACGTTTATGCTTGTGCTCCTAGTTCAGCTTCTGGTTACTAGGACGTCCTGTTGGTCGTCATTAAAGACCCAGTGTGCTTTGTGCTCCCTGATAACTGTATCACCTATTACCAAGTTTATTGCAACAGACTTTCTACCTTGTTATCTTATGCCTGATGATGTGTTCTGCCACCATTTTATTAGCTTTTAACGAGCCCTCTGGTGTCCTGACTGATACAAATCAATAGACGAGTAATTAATAAGATATTTTACAATGCAGGAGATAAAGTAGCATAAAAAAGAAACTACTATAATCACAAGTTATTTAAATGTGTTGAGTTCAGCAAGGTTTAAAGTTCCTGTTGTCAAAATCCGACCTGTAGTTTCTGAACGCAGGCCTCGACTGCCATTCCTTTGACACAGCTGAGAGACGGACGGATGGAGACTTGGGAGAAAGCCTGCGACATGGCCTGACATTTCTTCTGCTCTTCATTTGAGATGGTGCACCATCTGATGCTGCTCTGGCCAAACACTAACAGAGAGACACACAAAGACCACTTATCACTGTACTGCACCAAATGATTAATGAAAACACCTTGTATCCAACGACCACAACTGTTTCTGCCATGATGCAATCTGTCTTACAGTGTTTGCCAACCTGGGAATTGTGACCCTCGCGGGGTCACAAGGTATTCTGAGGGATCACAAGACACAAACAAAAGTTTTAAATATGATGATTCTCACATTTTGGGGTTTGTTTTGGGACATATTGAAGAGTGTTGCCTCTATAGAACTCTAAAAACTATCCAAACTGAGCGAACTGAGAAGGGAACATCACTCTTTGGTTGAACAACTCACATGCAACATGTATGTGGGGTTATGAGTGGATGCTTTAAAGCTGTGGTTCTCAACCTTTTTGGTGTCAAGGACCCCCCAAATTGACACACATCAGGTTGCACACCCATATTTAATAAGATTTAGTCTCAGGGATCCCCCATCTGATAAGATTTAGTTAACTGTCTGTACCGTAGATTGGCAGATTAACAGTGAAGAGCGTGAAACCTATGAACAGAATAGTTATTCTTTTCAACTTTTAGCCAATGAAAAAATAGTGGAATTGAAAGAGCAACTATTTTTCTGGGGTCACCCTGGAGTCGTCTTAAGGACCCCTTGGGGTGCCTGGGCCCTGGTCTGAGAACCACTACCTTAAAGATTCACAAGCAAAGAAAAGTTATGAACAGGTATAGGTTACATTTTATCTACACTTTCTGTTTTCTTAAGGCCATAATACAAGCAATAAACTGAGGTCAACATGTTCAAACTGCTGTTCTGATAATGATTAATTTATAAATAACACTAGTCTTTAGAGTTAAATTCATTTAGTCAACCGTTAAGACAGTTGGTTTTACATGACCACACAGGAAGCCACAGAATAAGACACAAAATCTTTAATACATCAAATTTTTTTTGGACATTTTGTGTTATTTTCCATTTAGTTTTTAAAAAATCAGCTCTTACCAGTATGTAGTATTAGCAGTAGAGCTCCGGCTGTCCTCCACATGGTCATGGCTGTTCTTTCTTCCTCTCTTTGTTGGGTGAAATTGCCTCCTTTCCCCTCTCCTCTACTTTATATGACGAGTCTCGAGTCAAAGTCCAACTTCTATCTTCAAGACTCGGCTTAAAGTCCTCGGTTGAAGCTCAGAAGAGGCTGTATTAGCGATTTACAACTCAGTCATCTAACAACATGTCATTCAGGAATCACAAGACTCCCAGCTCGAGTATTTGAGGCTCACTGTGGAGTTTATGAAGAGCTCCTCTCTGGTGTACCTGGTCTGACACGTCTCTGCTGCCGCTGCCTGGCTGCAGGCCAAAGCCCGGACAGAGAGATCTTTTACAGTCAGAGAGCCCCACCTCTGCTTTCCTCTCACTCCTCTCCTCCACTCGTGTGGTGCTTTTCCACTGATGGGCCAAAAGGAAAGAAGGGATTCAGGCCAATACAGTGAGGCCATTGGTCACTGACTCACTGCTCTGGCTACAACAACAACAACACACACACACACACACACACACACACACACACACAAGCACAAGGAGTCTGTTTACCTGCTTTAGTTGCTAACTTTGACCATATA